GTCTCAGTAGGCTTGAATTGGGTCCTCAGCACATAAGCATTTTGGGTAATATTTCAGGGAATACTCTGGTTGTGCTTGTTATTATGAAGCTAGAGATCTTCAAATTCTTTGATCTAGGGATCTGAGGGAGAATCTGGGCATTCTATAAGGTTCTCATTCTATGAGGAGGAAGTCCATTAGTTCTTGCAGAACAGTTCCCTTGTGGTCTCAGCAGGTGGAAGAGGCCCAGGGGAGTAGTAGGTCCAAAATATATCCGCTGGGGGTGTGGTCTCTAATAAGCTAAATTAACTTACACAAGAAACTTGCCTGCTAGCTCAACCTTGCCCATTGTCTTTGGCTCTTCTTTGGCACTTGTAGGATCTTTGCTTATTTTTTACCAGGCTCCTGTGCTGTCTGTGTCTGCTGGCAGGGGAGTCTTCTCTGCATGTTAGCCTCTAAGATTTGGACCCTAAATTCCAAAAGCTCAGGCTTTGGAAGCAGATGCCACCTGACAGCTGTGTGAACTTGAGCACATTATGTTTACTCATCTATAAGATGTTAGTAATAATAGTACCTAACTCATAGAAATGTTGAAGATCAAAGGACGTAATCTATGAGGAGTGCTCGGTACAGGGCAGATGTTCAGTCTATGATAGTCATTATTTTAAATCATTATTGCTCGTTGTCTCTACCATCAGTATTTGTGGGGTGGGTCCTGATCCTCCCATGAATGCAGTGTGGAGGACCTTATCACCTTGGCCATTGTCTTGGTTAATAGAGTAACATAACACAGCTGTTTACTGAGCTATGTCCCAGGCCCTGTAAAGCAACAACAACAAATTCAGCAGCTTTCAGAGTTTGCAAGCCAGAAAGAATACCTCAGCTTCCCCATTTATTTCTCACAGTAAGATCTAATCCAAGAATATGATTGTGATTGCTAGTCTGAATTTTAAAAATGATGACTGTAAAAATCTTTTTAAAAGTTTCCTTGTGAAAATATTTAATATTTTGATTTGTGCTGTTTGATAGATATGTTGAACCACCCAAATCTACAGATTCATGACAAGTGCCAGTTCGTATTCAGAGGCAGTGATTTTTTTTTTTTTTCCTGTATATGGACTCTTCTGGGATGTTTCCAGCACGAGTACAGCTCTGAGCAAACCATGCTTTGTAAAGCCAGTTATTTGTTTTACTTCTGCCAGAATATTGAAAGTTTGCCTGGTGAACATTCCCTGAAATCAAAATGACTTATTATCAGGCTTCCTTTGCTTTTGATCCTGCTGCAGGATGGTGTGTTTTCCTAATGATGCAGAATCTCTCGTTAAGTTCAGGAAACAGGATATAAGGATAAGTCAATTGACTCAATTTATGGACATAATAAAACGGTCCCTATTACCTTCAGCAGTCAAGGCAAGACAAGGTGAAACACAGTGTTGTAAAGTTATTATGACAAAATAGTTTAGTATTTACCTGACCAAATAAAGTGAAAATACTGCATTTATTTTTGAAGCGGCATTTCAGACATTATGACCTAAAATTAATAGTGGTAGACGATCATTTATCCTGTCGCACTGGGATATTGCAGAGTTCACTCAAAGCCAGGAATATCTGCTATTAAATCATGGCAAACTAAAAAAATTTTTTGAAGTATTTCCTTGTGTCTGCTCTATGTCTACTGTTGGCCCCACCGAGCCAGTGTTAACAGCTAAGGCATTTCTTTTTCCATCTTGTAATATAATTAAAAACAAATTTAGAAGCAGAATAGATGTTTTGTATGTTAGAGCGCTGTTAGTTTTGGGGAAGGTATTGGCAATGCACACAGCTGTTCCTGACAATTATAAACTCAGAAAAGAAAAAAAGAGAGGACAGAAACCAAATTGACCAAATATGGTTGCTTTTGTCTTCCAGTGGGAAGCAAGTCTTTGGGGTGGCCATAGGAAAAATAGATGTAAATCAAATATTTTTAATCTGCTGCATTTTAAAAGAGAGGGACATAAGGCCTAAGGGGTATAGAAAGTTTCAAGTTGTTAAATATATCCAAGGGGTACTTATGATATTAGTAGCTTATGAAAATACTTGAGGTTTGGGCTAAATTTCAGTTTATTTCTGGTTTTTGGTTAATTTCTAGACTCTAGATTCTAAAGTAATTTTATGTTTCTGGATGAAAATGGGACTATGACTCTGAATTAGGTAAGCAAGACTGTGGACACTGAGCAAACATGAAGAAGTCCTAAGTTTTGTTTTGAATATCTAATAATCTGTTTGCATATGTTGATTATGAGTTGCACAGTGACCAGCAAAAAGATCCTGCAGGTTTTTGCTGGCTATCACCCATATTAGGCCTATCCTTGACTCTGAAATGACATCTGGCCATGCTCCTTTCCCCCACTCCCACTCCAATCTGTCTTACCCTGCATGGCTTTTTTTTTAAATTTTTTTATTTTTAATTGTTCTATCCCCTTCTAATATTCTGCATAATTTATTTTTTATGTTTAGTATTAATTGTTTGCCTCTTCCTCCACCCCCCCCCCCCCAGTATAAGGCCTGGATTTTGATTTGTTCACCAATTTACTTTGAGCATCCAGAGCAATGCCTGGCACATAGTAGGTGCTCAATATATATTTGTTGAATGAATGAATCATACCCTTTTTTGCCTAAAACATGATAATCATTTTCATTGGCTTTGTGATAAAGTGTAACTTATTTCTTTCTTTTTTTTTCTTTTGGGGGAGGAGGGGCTGAGGGAGAGGGAGAGAGAGAATTTTTTTTTTTAAAGATTTTTTATTTATTTATTTGAGAGAGAGAGAGAGCACATGAGAGGGAGGAGGGTCAGAGGGAGAAGCAGACTCCCCGCTGAGCAGGGAGCCCGATGCGGGACTCGATCCCGGGACTCCAGGATCATGACCTGAGTCGAAGGCAGTCGCTTAACCAACTGAGCCACCCAGGCACCCTGGAGAGAGAGAATCTTAAGCAAGCTCTACACCCAGCACAGAGCCCAGTGTGGGCCTCCATCTCACAACCCGGAGATCATAACCTGAGCCAAAATCAAGAGTTGGATGCTTAGCCAACTGAGCCACCCAGGGACCCCATAAAGTATAACTTCTTTATGTGGCATGTATGAGCCCGATCCATTTTAAATATCCAGGTATATTTCTTTTCATTTTTCTCCCGAATGGTTCCCGCTCTACCAAACTATGGCCTTCTTGCTTGTGGGTTTTTGCACATGCTGATTCTTTTGCTGGATGTCTCTTTGTCCTCTTTCTTCTTGGATAACTCTAAGATTTTAGGACTCAGTTTAGATTTTTTTTTTTCCCAAGAAGCCTTGTCTGGTCTTCCAAGTCTGGGTTAGGAGCCTCTCCTGTATATTCTTTTTTTTTTTTTTAAAGATTTTATTTATTTATTTGACAGAGAGAGACACAGCGAGAGAGGGAACACAAGCAGGGGGAGTGGGAGAGGGAGAAGCAGGCTTCTGCTGAGCAGGGAGCCTGATGCAGGGCTCAATCCCAGGACCCCGGGATCATGACCTGAGCAGAAGGCAGATGCTCAACGACTGAGCCACCCAGGCGCCCCTCTCCTGTATATTCTAATGCATGTTATACTTCCCTTATAACAAGCTTTTATTATGTGGATTGCCATGGAACGACCATCTTTCTTAAGCTTGTCAACTCTGTGGGGGCAAGAACCAGGCTGCCTTGTTCATAGTTTTCTTCATGTCAAATGCATTGCTTAGCACCTTGTAGGAGGTTCATTATATTTGAATCCGTGAATCAATATGAAAGGAAGGGTGTGTAACTCAGACATCGGCTGTGATCATCCTGCCCAGTAAGATCTGGGGAAGTCTGGTTCAATGCCCTTGTCTGAGGCATTTTGACTATTTCTAGGGTCTTATCACTTCCAGCTCCAATTTCCTTTTGTCCCTTAATTTTGTATAGTACAGTGGTTAAGCATGTGGCCCTGGAACTCCATCATCTAAGTTCCTCCTGGATCTTCCCTGAGCTGATCATCCTCTCAAGGACAGAATAAAGATTAGCTCCGGAAATGTATCACATTGAAACAGCGTGAAAAAAATATATTAAAAAATTTCTCCTTGTTTGAAGGAATCCAGGGCATGCTTGGGTTATGTGGGAGGAAATCATGCTTGATCCAATTTCCTGAATGTATTTGTGTGTGGCTCCAGTCTATTCCAAACCAAATCTTGTTGACAGTAGAGAGGTATAGTCAGGGGTTCCTTGTTGTCAATCTAATGAGGGTGTTAAACATAAAAAAAAAAAAAATCCTCCATGTTACACCTGAACCGTGTATCGTTCTAAACCCTAAGTATCTTTCTAAACATGAACATTTCTCCATTTAAATTGTTTCTTTGTATTGTTAACAATGTATCAGAATTGGATCTTTTTTTCCTCATCTGAACATAAATAAACTTTAAAGAGTATTGTGATATCAAGCCCTTTAACATACATATTAGAGAAACTGATGTGAGTTTTAAAGGTTTTGGAGTACATTTAAATATGTCTTTTCATGTTTTGTTCTTTACAAATAAAACTGTGGGGTCGATCCAACAACAGCAACAACAACAAATCCCACCCTTGCCATTTACTGGCCTGTTAACTTCTCTCGGTCTCTGTTTCCTCGTTTGTAAAGTGGGAATGATTATGATAATTATAGCACCTACCTCATGATACCATGTAAAGATTCAATTTGTACTTGTAACCTACAGAGTTTAAGTCATAATAGGTCTCAGTAAGCTTTTTTTAAAAAAAGATTTTCTTATTTATTTTATAGAGGGGGCGGGGAGGAAGGGAGAGCGAGCGAGAGCGAGCGAGAGCGAGCGAGAGCGAGCGAGAGCGCGGGAGCGCATGAGCAGGCGGGGCAGAGGGAGAGGGAGAGAGACTCTCAAGCCGACTCCTGCCGAGAGCCGAGCCTATCGCGTGCGTGCGGGGCTGGGTCTCTCGGGGCTGGGTCTCGCGGGGCCAGAACTCACGCGCTGATCTCGCGGGGCTGAGATCACGACCTGAGCAGAAGCCAAGAGTCCGACTGCACTACCCAGGCGTCCCAGGTCTCGGTAAGTTTTAACTTTCCCGATCAACTACGTAAACAAGGCTGTTGCATTTAGCAGAATTTGCCCTGAAGGTTTGCAGGCCCCAAGGTTGTATCACAGCGGATAAATGAAGGCATCCCTGTTGGGCCAAGTCCTCTGGTCCATCCCACCATCAGGATTTCTCCCCAGTGCACTCCGCAGCTGAGCGTTCGGGCCTGCGGCTCTCTTGCCAGCCCTCTCTTCCTCTTCTGTGCCTGTGCTTTTCCAGTCCACACGCTCTGCACTTCTCTGCACCATGGCGGCTGGAAATGCCCAGTTCTTCCCTCTGTCTCTTTTGCAGCACACTTCAGCTCTTCTGCTTGAGGCGGACTTCCAAACTGGATCTACACCTGTCTTCATGTGCAGAAAGCTCAGTCCGATGACTGGGCCGTCTCCAGCTTTAGCAGATGCTCATCCTCCCTTTAGCATGGCCATTTTCCTTAGGAGAGCTGTGGTTTTAAATGGCAAATTGCTTTTCTTCATTATAAGTAGTAGGAAAAAATAACGATAAATACCTTAACAGGTGTGTATGTGTGTGACAAGTAATCACATTGTTTGTGAAGCAGAAAACACCAGGAGACAATGCAGTTCCCCTGTGTGTGAACACGACTGGTGGAGGCTTCCTGCCCTAGAGAAGCATTCTTTTGCTTTCCTCTCAAAAGTCCTTGCCTAAGTGCTGTGTTGGAAGCAGCCACATTAGCGGGGCTGAGCTGCTGCAACATTGTAAATGCCAGCAAATAAAAGTGTCAGCAGCCTGGCTGTGGGAGGCTGGCAGGGCCCAGAGTTTAGTGCTGTTCTGTCCAGATCAGCCGTTCTAAGGGGGCTGGTTCATATCCAGCCCACACGGGTAGTGATTCAAAGTTATTTCCTACTGATGGCTCTTCCTGACCCCAGGAAAAGGTGTTTGGAGTTCTCCAGCCGCAGCCCACCAGGAAGGAGGAGTGCCTACTCAACTTGAACTGCCTCTCTCTGCAACAGATGGCCTCATCCTAGTTAATGGATGGCATTTTGAGTTGTTGGTGGAAGATTCCCCACCCCCACCTATACCGATAACAGAATTTTTGTATTACTTCTGATGGGACCCATAATCACAGGAAAAATATAAGCAGACTTGTTTTCTTTCCACCACTGGATGCATTTATTTACAAAGAGGAACTTTAAACAGCCAGAGACACATACACTTACTGGTAGTAAAACTCTACCCTGTGATTCACAGATTTCTCAGGCTGTGCTTCCTGCGGCATCGAGGGTCTATAATATCACAGTGTCAGAAGGGAGCTTCAGCCATGTCTGTCTTGAGCCACTGCACAGATGATTCCTGCATTTGGTGAGTTGGCAAAAGCAAAGAGGGTTTTAGGCCTAAGGGTACATTTTACATTTGCATTTGAGAGGAAAATGCAGCTTTGGGCCTTGAAATTGACTATGTAGAAGAAAATGCTTGTTGTATGCAGTGAATATTCAGTAGTATGGCCTTCAAAGCCTGTTCACCAACAGCAGGATCCTGGCTGTGTAGCCAGTAAGGTTTTTCCAAGGTGAGGTCTTTGGAGAGGAGGGAAACAGAGCTCCCTGTTGCTGAACGCTCTTGGTAACGGGTATGTTAAAGGCGTGGAAATCATAGACAGCCATTTCGAATATGTTTTCAAAGAGTTCTGAAGGCATGGGAAAATGCCACAGGTCATTAGTAAATGAAAGAAACAAGTAGGATGTCAAATATACACTGTGTGACCTAAGCTCTGTGAAACAATGGGTATTAAAGGACATACACCAAAATGCCCATGATTGGTGGCAAGCTTAGGAATCTGTTTTAGTCTTGTGTCTCTTAATAATGTCCAGTGATTTCCAGGCTTCCCATAGTGAGCATATATCACTTTTTAAATCTGCATAAAACAGGTGTTTATTTAAAAAATAAAGTGGAACAATTTACTTCCATTAGTGATGATTTTATTTATTTATTTTTAAAGATTTTATTTATTTATTCATGAGAAAGAGAGAGAGGCAGAGGGAGAAGCAGGCTCCCCGCTGAGCAGGGAGCCCGAAGCAGACTTGATCCCAGGACCCTGGAATCATGACCCGAGCCGAAGGCAGACGCTTAACCGACTGAGCCACCCAGGTGCCCCATTAGTGATGATTTTATTTATTTATTTTTTAAAAAGATTTATTTATTTATTTTTATTTGAGAGAGAGAGAATGAGAGAGAGCGAGTACATGAGAAGGGGGAGGGTCAGAGGGAGAAGCAGACGCCCTGCCAAGCAGGGAGCCCGATGCAGGACTCGATCCCGGGACTCCAGGATCATGACCTGAGCCGAAGGCAGTTGCTTAACCAACTGAGCCACCCAGGCGCCCCCTTAGTGATGATTTTAAAGGGTTTAATTTTTTACAATGAGGCAAAATCTATTATTCCTTTTTATTATTCTCTGTTGGGAGGTAAAATGGCCCCAGACGACTTTATCCAGCTCTTGTGATTTGCTATGTATATTTTTGCCTTGAAAATAATGATGTTTTACATTTGCCCTGGGTTAGCACATTTGTGACAGATGCCAACTTTTTGGGGGCAAGTCAGGACCACTTGGTTTTAGCTTTGTTGCTAAAGCTTTCAAGTTTTCATCTTAGAGCAGTGTGATAAAATTCCATGACCAAAAATTGCAGCATACACACATACAGCACATATATTTACATATAAAAATTTGCCAGTGTTATTACTGTTATCATAAAATCTTATTTTAAAAAGTAATCAGGTGATTAGATATCCTAGGTTGCCAAGCTTTCATTTCATTTCATTTTATTTATTTTTCTGCCAAGCTTTGATTTTTGATATTTAACTGTTATGGGGAAAAAAAGCACATTCCTTTATTGGACAACTCCATACTCCTGCCTCTCTTTATTAAAGTAACAGTGGCATATATGTTTTTAATGGGCGGTTTACAAGATACATCCTTAGGTCATATCTGTTCTGCCTATTTTTTTTTTATTAATTTTAATTTTTTTATT